GCAACAGGGAAACAGGTTATAATAATGGGATGGGAGGATTTTATGGTGTACTTTTGGTCCTGAATTTTTCCAAACAATTGTGCTTCTTCAGTGCTGAAATTTCTGGGATTTAAATAGTAATGTTTAAATTATGGTAAATGTAATTTAAAACATCTCAATGAATTATTTCTATAATATTATTCTTCAAGCATGTTTTAGTCTAGAAAATTATGGTGTGGGGGAGGCTGTTGTATTTTATTGTGTGGTAAACAAAGGATCTAAGTTATAGCAAGTGTGAAATATTTACTGTTTTTTCCTGACCTGTTGTCCTCATAGCACAACAAAATGAAGTGATGGAGATGCTCTTGGGCTCACAGCCTTTGTTTTTCTTTGAAAGTAAATGCAAGTACCAAAGCTCAAGAGGCCTGCCTGTGTCCCTGTGGAGAGCAGGGCCACTGGGGTCTGAGTGCAGAGGCCACCAGCTGCTGTCTTAAGCAACACCGTCCTACCTTCTCTTTGTTATTAAACGCTCTACCTTCCTTTTGATTAGCTATTTGTACTAAGAAATAATGTTATTTTGGTGTTGTATAATTCTACTTTTCTAGTAGGTTACTGTATGGAATCTGTGAAAAATATTTGAGAAAAGGTCTGTATTACATAAATAAATTCTTTGTATGTTGTGAACTTTGAGTTGAAATGCCATTCTGTTTCCCAGGCAGCTTGCCTAGAGGGGTCCCTCCTCCCCCTCCCACATTCATATATTCTCTAAAAGCAAAGATTTGAAATGAACAGTTTGACAGAAAAAGTTAATAAAATGGAATTTGTAACTGAATTGTTTAAAAATCTTTTTTACCCTTAAATTTTAATGTGGCTAAAACAATTATTCACAAAGAAAATGCCAAGCTCTGATTCACTTTGCTGATAAAAACGGGCTTTCTCTGGCCAAGTGTTTGTCATTGAGAGCTTCACAAGTGACCCAACCCTGAATCTTAGAAATGACCAAACAAGGGACTCTGCCATTCCATCTAAGCTCCACATTATTTTATAAACCATTAAGAAGAAAGACAATAGACACACTAGTGTGTGTGGGGGTACATCTTAAAACCACAGAAATGCCAATTATGGTAAACTATACTAGAAATCCTCACTGGTATTAAATTTGTAAATATTATGCTTTAGAAACATGGAGAAAAATGGCAGAGGACAAGGAGTGTAGCCAGACAGCACACTCCTCCCTCTTCGTAAGCTACAGGAGCAAGGTTGACCAAGCCACTGCCTCCTGGAACCTAAAAACACCTGCGCCTGCACTGCCTCTGCTGTTCATAGAGCCACAGTCAACCATGGAATATTAACTGGGCATAAGTAATTCAATGGTGCCTCGCACATGCTAGGCGCACGCTCTGCTGCTGAGCCACAACCCTAGCCGCAACACAGGACTCTTAATGATAGAACCTGTTTAACATATTTTTTAGTGTTTGCTCAATATTCATATACTTTATCCAATTTCAACTTCTTTTAAGAAAAGCAATAGAAAAATATCGGGGTAGAGGTGGCTGGGGATGAAGCTGTGTGACCCCCAACAGAGGCTGCACTGACGGGCCTGCACAGTGGACCCCTCCTGATGGTAATTTAGGCCTGGTTTTAAAATGCCTCGCACCGAGAAATTAAAGAGTTTCCTTCCCTCACCTATCAATTCTCACTCGAATATGACCAATCCATCAAGTCTGAAAATCTGTTATTTAAGGAATGTGACCAGATCTCTGGGACAGAGCAGGAGGGCTCAGAAAATAGACCAGGTTTGGCCTTTGGCGGCCTGCCTCCTTGGAAATGGCTAAGGAAGGAGACGAACGTTCCCTTGACTCCTAATGAGCTCAGTGATTACATACCAGAAACATGAATTATCTCTCGTCTCAAGTTCAGGAATATTCTCCCTGGCCCAAACCAAGGCTGTGGGAGAGCTGGGGAGGACTGGCCTTTCCTCATACCTGGTGGATAACGCCGGTGCCCTTCAGCTTTGAACTTGGATTATTTGAGAGACATTCCTCAGACCCAACTTCCACCTAAGCACTGAGGTGTCCAACCCAAATTTGCCAGACTCCTCTGTCAAGATGAGACCATCCTGACCTCGGGAGGCCCAAGAGCCCAGCTCCAGCCCAAATGAAGGAGCTGTGTTTGGGAAGGGGCGTGACAGGGGCAAACGAGTGGCTCTGTACCAGATAGGCCTTTTTCTTCCCCTCAACCATGTGGCACTGGAGAGACTTCACTTCCCACAGCTGTCTTTGAGGACAAGGCCTTATATCATAAGATAGCACCAAAGACCTCTGCCAAGATGAGGCAGGGTCACACATGCCAACCTCCCTCCAGAGAAAAATCTCCCCACCCCATCTAATGACACATACGATCCCCCCAGGCACCTCTGACACCCACAGGAACAGCCTCATTACAGGCTACTTGCCTGGGAGCCAAAAGCCCCAAGTCCCAGCTCCTGCCTATGCCAAGACTTGACCTTACTTATTACATAGATCATCAGTATCCATCTCTTAGGCCATGAGTGGCTCAGGTGAGAGAGGATAAAACACTCCACAAACAGAAGGCTTTGTGATTACCAACAAACACTGATGCATTTCCAAGAGCCAGGCTTTCAGTTTGTAGAAAACAGTGGAGTCTATCCCTGGCCCACTCTGTTATAGACTCTTGCTTAAAATGCCTCTTGATGCTGAACCTTCGTGCCTCCTACTGGACTTCAGGCTGACCATCCAGGGAGATTGAAGGAAGTCTGCATCCTTTCCACAGAATAGAACTGAAGATGGAACTCAGGAGTGCTCTACCATGGAGCTACACCTCCAGCACATCTGACTTTCTATTTAAAGACAGGTCTCACCAAATTGCCTAGGTTGATCTCAAACTTGCAATCCTCCTGCCTTAGCCTCCTGAGTCACTGAGACTACAAGAGTGCATCAGCATGCCTGGCTCAGAAAAGTTCTTTATGTGGCAAGAGGGCACGGAATGATGTGCCTCAAATTTTCTCTAATACCTTGCAGATTTTTCCACCATGGCTGCCGGGGATTCTGCCCCCTCACCAATCCTGCTGCCCTCTTTTGGATGACTGGCGCCTTATTTGCGCCTCATACACCAAGGCCCCAGAACAGAACTGTACACCAGGAGGGCTCAGCTCCTACCACCAGATCTGCACAAGTGCTCATGATGCGGTTTAAGATTTAGCACTTTTGCTGACTCCAGTGAACCAGGGATCATTCCAACTCTCCACTCCCAGACCTTCAGGATGAAGCAGTGTAGCAGGGCAACACCTTGCTAATTATGTAACAGAACTGGCACATCCCGCTTGGTTAAATATACTCTGAAAATGAACTTTACCTGTTTCTTTTAAATTTTCAATGCAATACTAGAAAATGGTAACACGTGCCACTTGTGTTATGTTCCATGGGACGGCGACTGCTCTAGGGCTTTCTCCAAGAGAACAGTAACCAGCACTTCTGTTTCAGTACAGCTAGTCTTTCCTGAACTATCCTATCCCCCAATTCACATTTCTCCATTTGAGCCGTGGCAATATTCTGGGGGGTTTTGCCAAATGCATTCAATCCATATATTCCTTATATTTCTGTCATGGCAGCCTTTTTGAAAAGAGATGGAGATTGGAGGAGACAGAATGAGAGAATAAGACACTTGCCCAATTGCTGAGCCCAGCAGGCACCCACTGATGGCTTCGGCAGGTCACCATTTCCCTTTTGAGACACCCACTCCAAGGTCAGTTTCTGTATTTGATTTGGATTCTACAAAGTCAGACCTTTAATGTTTGCTCAACAAATGGCCAAGTGAACAATCTGCTTGTGGTGGCAGAACTGTCATGCAGGATCACTACTTAAATGACCCCTCACCTCCAGGCCTTGCTGCCTCTGGGTAAACAGGATGCCCCCAAACATCATGGGATTGATGCATTGTGGCTCTGGCTCTTGCCAATTCTGTGACCTTGGTCATGTTCCTCTGCTCCTTTATCACTTCATCCTTCTCTAGGTTTTTAAGGAATCAGCTACTTAAGGATGCTGGGTGGTGCTGCTGCGTCTGGTTTGTGCCACTTCCTGTCTGCATCCCCTCCTAGCAGGGGGTTGGCGCTGCACAGGAAGGGTCCCTCTTCCTGATACCAGGGGCTGGTGCTGCCCTGGCTGTCCTTTAGCAAATGTTGGTGAGCCTGGCAGCTTGAGGGAGGGAGCAACTCTTGGGCTCTGAGCAGGGTGGGGGCCTGCTCCCTCTACATTAGCTCTTCCCCAGCATGAATAAAAACACTCTGTGGAAAGCTATGAAAAAGGGTGCTCTTTAACCAGTCAGTGAGAAGACACAGGCAGAATGTTCTAGAACCATGCCTTATTAATCTGAAACTGCCTTCCTCCTGAAGTTTTTCCCTGCTATAGCTGTGAGCCTGGGAAACCCACCTGCACTTTATGACCAGCGTCTTGACCTGGAATGCCCAGAAATGATCATGCCACCTCGCCTATCAGCTCAGGTCATTTCTTCAGCAACTGGAACCAAGATGCAGAGCCAGGAGGAGGATTTCAAGCCCTGGGGTTGTAAAGCCTCTAGAAGCTGGGGGCAGAGGCAGGACCAAGGTCACTGGAGCAACAGGTGAGCAGACCTTCTGAGGGTACAGAAACCTGAGCCTTGCAGATGGCATTGCAGCTTTCGAGGCACCGAATGCAGCCCAGACAGTGGCCAGCACAGCCTGAGAGGGAGATGGGAGCCACACACAGAGTGGCTACCCTGCTCCACTCCCCCCATGAAGCATGACCTTCCTGCTACGGATTCGATTCCTGTACTGAGAACAGATGGCCTGTTTTTCTGGGAGCACCTGTGCTCACACAAACCAGCCAAGGGACATCTCCTCACCTTCTTCCCAAGCTTCCCTCTCCACCTGGTGATCAGACACTGGCGCCCGTGGAGGCCTCATCCAAGAGGGGTGCTTGGTTCTTACGTCCTTCCCAAGACACAGAAACCTCTGCCATCCTTGATGGCTTTTTCTGAAGAGGGAAGTATTTATTGCAGGGCAGGGACACTTGTAAGAAGGCAAAAAAATCTAACAATGAGAATAAACTACACACCCCTCACCCCAGCTTAGAAGATGAACAGGTAAAACAAATACACGGGTTATGTACAATCATTAAAAAGAGCAGAGTGGTGGAAAAGGAGGAAAAACTGCCAGCAGCCTTCCAGAAGGTTCGTATAGGATGTGGAGGAGCACCTTCCCACCCAGTCCTGGCTGTGCCTCAGGTGAGTGCCTCTGCTGTGGTTCCTGGCCGGCTCCTGATGAAAAAAGCTGATGAGAGGACACGTGGGGTGACTTTGGACCCCAGGTTTGCTGTGCTCCGCTAGGGGCTGGCTTGCTGAGGAGAGTGGACGACGTTGCGCACAGGTGCCCGGCCTGCTCCCAAAGACGAAGGCCATCTCATTCACATTTCCTAACACACCAGGGAGAAGTTGGGCAAAACCATGTCCCCTCAAGGGAAGATGTGACTTTCTGGGGTCCGTGTATGAATAAATAGCCCACCTGGTCTCAGGTGACCCAACGCTTCAAGCCGAACGGTCCGGTTGCTTCCTCGGGTACCTGAACGTCCTTCGCAAAGTCTAGAATTAGTGGCCAATGACCAGATTGTCCTCGTAGGTGTTCATTGCTTCTATCAGGAAGCCAATCCCCACCAGCCCCCCTCAGATAAGTATCATGTCACCTCTCACAAGACCATCAGGAAGGGACAAATGCAGGTCTGTGTCTTTTCTATGAAAAAGGGAGCACAGCACGCCAAGTGTCCTTGAAGAAGAGATCTCAAGGGGCTTGGTCATCCAAGTCCCCAAGTGCCTGAGATCCGCTGCATTCTGCCCGTGAAGCGGCGAGGTGCCCACCGCACCAAAACATGGACATTTCAACCCAGTCCCTCGGATGCCTTTTCGGGGCTGACATAGTCCACTCTGACAGAGTCCAGAGTGCAGGGCAAGGCCAAGCCCTGCACTGGCTGCAGCACGCCTGGCTCCTGGTCCCCAGGCAGCCCACGGAAGGTGCCAACAAACTTGGAGCAGTCAGAAGAGAGAGGCTCCCTCGGGGCAGGGCACAGCAAGGCTGGGCAGGAGCGGAGCCTTCCTGGCTTAGGACCCTCTGCAGGGGGCTCAGTCTCGGTGGCGACGCCAAGTTCCTACCCGCTCCCCGCCTGTGGCAGCGGCAGGAGAGGGGGATGAGGGAGATTCCGGAGGGGCAGGGGCCAGGGCTGCCGCAGGGGGCTCCTCGGCTGAGGGCGCGGCGGGCGGGTGCTCGGCGACAGGCCTGCTGCTGTCCTGACGGTGCTTGCTGCAGAAGATCTGCCCCTCCTTATCTAGAGCCGTGTTCTGGGGAGAAACGCAGAGACCACGTTACCCTGGCCCAGGCTCAGCTGCCACAGTCGGAGCACGACAGCATGCAGGGGGCCCAGGAGGAGAAGAGGAGAAGTAACCCAGTCTACCAGAGCCTAAAGAAGCGATGGTTTGGGGACACCTCCCCCCTCCCCAAGCCACTGCCAATGGCTTCTGGCCCTCTCACAACCCAGGCTGGTGGCCCAGGGAAAAGGCCACTCTGGTGCCATCCGGGTGCCCTGTGGTGGCACCTCTGTTCTGAGCCACACCCAAGTCCTGAGCATCACTGCTCAGGAGATTCCTGGGACACTCAGCAAACCCTCTAAGGCCACTCAGTCTTTGATGGATTACTTGTCTCAAGAAACTTCTCAAATGTCATAAATACTGCCCTATGACCTAAATGGCTGTGTCATCTCTAACAGGCCTGGAAATGTGATGGAGCAATCTCCTCCATATCTCCACACCTGCTCCTCTCCTCCACTAAGGGGGACTCTTCATCTTGTCACACCTCAGCGTTTCTAACCTGCCTCAATGCAGGAGCAGAGACCCAGCCACGGAATGGCATGGAGTCACTCTGCCCTCTGACCCCTCACTGGGACCCACCGTCCTCATCCCTTCATCCCCTGACTCAGTTCCAGTACTTCTTGCCTGCTTGTCTAGGGACGGCCATCAACCTGCCACCTCGGATTTTCCAAATGTGAGGGAGATGGCAGTTCTCAGGTGCCTTTAGCTAAAGGGGACAGTGATCCAGAGGCAGTTTATCACCTCGTGACTCGGACTCAACAGTTGGCTTTTCCAGAGCCCCGCAGCCACCTCCCGGGCCTCGGTGGAGCAGCACTAGCTTCCCCAGGACAGTCCCAGGACAGTCCCAGGACCGGGGAGCGGCAGGCGGGGCAAAGCCCAGGGGAAACCTGCTTCCAGCCCCCGAATCGGAGGCCAGGCCTCCCCCAAACCCGAAAACAGGCAGCAAACGCTGATTTTTTTCTACCATTAAGCATAGCACATTCCCGGGTGAAGAAAGCCACCCTACACCGTCCCGTTACTTCTCCTTTCCTCCTCCCGGGGCAGCACGTGAGCGGGGCAGCGGTGGCGGTGCGGTTAGTACGTACCGTGGCCCGGGACCTAGGCAGGGGGAGCAAGGCGGCGGCGGGAGCGCGAGAGAAGGGAGGAGAGAAGCGGGGACAGAAACCAGACTTACTTTCAACAGAAGCAACACGGTGGACAGTTTTGTCTACCTTAAACTAAGGAAGCAACCCCAGATGTCCCCCAGGGGCCCCCGGAAGGCGGCCACCCCACCCCCGCGGAGGAGGCGCTCCATGGGCCGGGCCTTTCTCCAGCCCCGGGCCCCTGCAGGCAGCAGGGTCCTTGTCATTCCCTTCTCTGCCACGAGATGGCCGCTGCTCATCTGAGGCTGGGATGAGACCCGGGATGAACAAAGAAGCCACCCCGCAGAATGCACTGTCCTTCCTTAAGCAGGCTGAGGACTAGTCACGAGGAAATGGACGTATACGCCCCAAACACAGTCCTCCCTGAAACCAGAGCCCTGCCCCATGTAATTATCTTCGCTTATCCAAAGGCTACCTGGCATCAGACCATCCTATTGATAAAAATTCAGCTTTGGAAATGTAGTTGGAGAAACACAAAAACACTGGTAAGATCCCTGTCGTGCCCTAAAGGACGCTCTTGCCCCTGAGGGAAAACAGCAGAACTACTGGAATCCTCCCTCGCACTCGCCAGCTTCTGATCAGGGAAGGATCAGGGAAGGCGGGCAGAGTGCAGAGCTGAGAAGTTTTCACGTCGTTTCCAGGGGCGTGCTTGGCTGGCAGGGAGGATGTCAGGAAGCACCTCATCAGGAGGAAGCTAAGGGCTGCCTGGGAGCACAGAGTCTGAGAAGCATGCGCGTGGAAGAGGGCCGAGAATTAGGAGCTGCTCTGAGGAAGCACAGCACATTGAATACCAGCATTCTGCTTCGGGATTTCCCACAGTCTCAACTGGGTAAAGGAGGAAACTCTGAGGTGCCTCTCAAACTGTCAAATCAAACTGTCAAATAAAATGCAGACAACAGCATCAGCTTTACTTCTTTCAGGTTTATTCACCAATTCCTATCCTAAAATCTTCTCAGTGGAGCCTCAGGCATCAACCCTGGGGGGATGGAGGGTCAGAAAACATTGGAGTGATGGGGCAGGAGGGTCCCGTCTGTAGTTGCACAATGATGCTAATGATTTAGCCACAAAACTCATACACCCCATTGCTACCATCATCTGTGTCTGCAAGAAACTATATTAGCTCATATATCCCAGTAATGAGGACATATGCATGCCAGGGAAAATCATTTTGTGGTTACTTTTTGACATAAAATGTGTTTAAAACTGCTCAGACGTGTGGTAATGGTGATGAAGATGAAGGCACAGAGCATCACACACGTCCCCCATACAACCATGCCCCAGGTCAGGTCCAGACTGGGCGAGGAAGACCAGGAGGCCTCCTCTTCCTGCCACTTTTGGGAATAAGCCAAAATTCACAGGCTGACTTTGGGCCACTGAGAATGGGTACTGCCAGGGACAAGCTTCATGGATCTCTCCTGTAGGTACTGAATGTGACAGTGCCATTCAGCAGTTCCTCAGAGCTGACAACCTGCAGAGTTGTGTGGGGAACACGGGGTTAGACAGGACCCTGCCAAAAAGCACAGAATGACCAGAGAGCATGCATGTCAACATGCAGCTTCCACAGTCACCACTGGAATTACAAATAAAGGGGTGGTGCATTCACACAAGCTTCTCTAGAGCTGAGAAGATTGATGTTTGACTGTTGAACTTCATCAGCAAACGGACAACCACCTTTGGTGAACCACATATAGGTTCTGTTTGCATCCTTATCCAGAACACAGGCTGCTCTGGGCCATAAGATAGAGCAGCCAATCATCCCAGAACCTAACTGACTCCTACTGGGCCCCTGAGTTGAAAGGTGACCCAGCAGATGATCACCTGATCACCGAGTGAATTCTGGGCACAGGGCTGTAGAGATTCTTCTTTCTAAATTATAAGGCTAATAACATAGTTATGTTGGTGCCAATGAATCTCTCTTAAGGTTTTTTCATTGCATGCCGACTATGCCAATTTTTTTTTTTTTTCAGTGCTGGGGAGGGACCCAGGTCCTCTCACTTCTAAACATGTGCCCTTCCACTGAACTGCATCCTTAGCCTGTGCACGCCAATTTTTAACATTTTTCTAAACTTTCCCAGAAGTAGCCTTATGACGTGAGCAGTGGCAAGGCTGCATGCTACTTATCCCACCCCTGATGCCAGCTCTCATGAGGGAGCCATGTGAAAAGCCTTTACACTGTCGGCTCAGTCGAGATGGCTCTTTCCAAAGCGTTTAAGTTGTAATTCTGTGATTGATCGACTCGGGTTTTCCAGGCTTTTGGCAAAATACTGTTAAAACTGCTAGGGGAAAAAACCGCAACTGCAGAGGCCGCCTGCATCTCTGGCATGGAACACTCTAAAGTCCTGCAAGTTGTCACAAGGCCCACGCTTTGTCTGGGGAAGGAGGGGACAGCACACTTCCCAGGGAAGCAGGGGGAACTGTGGGGACATACAGGGCCCCCAAGTGAAGGCAGCCTCCCCCGGGGAGAGGAGAGTGACAGGCCAGCAGGTGTTGGGACTGTGGTGGAGGACCTCAACCAGGACAGCAGAGCAGTTCCCATTCACAAGGGTGCATTGCACATATGTGCACACACGTGTGCTCATGTGTGTGTACTCTGCATCTTCCTACATCAAGTTCCTAGACTATAAGCTGCCGCGAGAAGCCACAGTCTTCCCTCCAGAGGGGAAGGAAACCAACAGAACCTTTCCCAGGGGAGAGGGGCTGCCCCTGAGGCTGGACAGCTGGTAGTGGGTGTACTGACCTCACTCAGTGTCTTCTGCCGTTACTTTCCTTTGGCTTCCCTTATCTTAATGTTACTTTTCACTTTTGTTTGTTGTATTTATTTATTTAGGTAAGCTTCCTTTAAAAACCTCTGGAAGCTGGGTGCAGTAACACATGCCTGTAATCCCAGCTACTCCACAGGGGGATCACAAGTTCCAGGTCCATCTCAGCAATTTAGTGAGAACCCGTCTCAAATAAAATGGGCAAAGGATGAAGCTCAGTGGTACAGCACCCCTGAGTTCAGTCCCCAGCATTAAAAAAAAAAAAAAGTGGAAAAAAAACCAACACAGTGATTCTTGTTACTTTGTAACATTTTACTAACCATGAAAAAAAATTTTTAAATGTTGTTCTGTAATTTCAAAAGCTCCCAAACTGTCTTTTACAAAACACAATTTTTAAAAAATCAAATTTGTCTACCTTTGACTCTTTTATCCCATAGAATAATCTATGTGTGAATCCTAGAGTAGGCCTTTGCTCACAATGCACACCCCATTGGGGCTGGAAATTTCTCTCTAAACAAGACAGGGAGACAAGGTGGAGGCTGCTGCCCAGGAGCTCCTGGCACCTGGACCCGTCAGTCTGGCTTCCTTGGCACCTGCAGGCACCACCCCCAGTGCCCAAGGCCTGGGAAGTTGAGTGCCCTCCATGTGTAAGCCCATCCTCACGTGAACATAGGAACGTGGAAGGCACCGACTTCCCAGCGAGCTGAGCTCTTGGCTCAGAGGACTCGAGGCCAGCTCAGCAGTCAGGCCAGATGCCATGGCTCCCTGTGGCAGATTCTGTGCCCCACTTACCATGATGACAGAAACCCCGGTGGTAGTGCTGCTCTGTTTGGGAAGCGCGTTATTAAAGTGCTGCTTTAGTTTACCTGTGACCTCAGCGTGCATGTTGTTCTCCTGGGAAGTGTCGTCCTGCAGAAAAGAAAAGAATCACAAACAGTGGTCTCTGATCCTCACATGGAAGCCGTCTTTCCTGTAGCAGTTACCACCCAACCAACCTCCTCTTCCTTAAATAGGCCCATCCTAGCCACAGGAGTAAGGGAACTAACTGTATCTTTCAAAAATTATTATTGGGGGCTGGGGTTGTAACCCAGTGGTAGAACACTTGCCTAGCATCCACGAGGCAATGGCTCGATCCTCAGCAACACACACACAATTATTGTTATGACTCCGAAATGTCATGCACTCAGAAAGACCCTAGACCATTCACTCCACTCCTGAGAACTAGAAAAGACCAAGGAGCCAGCACAGGTCTCCAATGCACAAGGAGGACAATCATTAGGCTTCCGAGACCCTCTTTCAAGGCACATAATTTAGCTTGATCCCTCCTATGGCAACATGGAAAACAATTCAATTTATCATTTTCATCAAGAACTCATGCCTGGCATGATGGTGCATGCCAATAGCTTCAGCTGCTCAGAAGGCTGAGCCAGGAGAATCTTTTGAGCCCAAAAGCTTGAAGCCAACCTTTTTTAAAAAAAAAGAAAGAAAAAAAAAGACAGTGGGAGGTTAGGAGCACGTGATCAGCATGCGTGAGGCCCTGGATTCAATCTCCAGCAACAAAACAACCAAAAGAAATTCATTTAATTATTCATCTTTATTGCTCACAAAAGATGTGGCATCTCAGCTACTTGGTTCAAGAGCCATGTCACTTAGTCCAGGAGAGCAGCCAGCAGGGTAGTAGAAGGAGGGCCCAGGGAGCCCCCAAGTCAACAAGAGCCCTTGGCTGTACATGAACTCTCTGGAGACTCCTACATTTACAATTTAGTTTGCTATGTTTACAATAAGCTCAGAGGAAATGCTAGTCTACATCACACACCTCCACCTGCCTCTGGAAGGGACTCAAACTCGCTGTCCCACAAGGGCTCTCCTATGACCATGTGGACACACCAATCACAGTCTGAACATGCTCATCTCTGGGGCAAATCCTGAAAACCCAGAACTACAGGAGGCAAGACCTACAAGGCTTCTGAGAACACTGCCAGCCTCCTCACTGTGAAGATGAGGAACTGAGGGCCAGAGGTTACCTGCCTAGGTTACTCACAGAGCAGGATCTAAGACTCTGGCACCCTGGTGTCAACTACCTTCTTCCAGAGAGCTCTCTGTATGCTACTTGCTCATTAGGAAAGGCAGGGATTCCAGATGCTGCAGAGCGTGCACACACAGTTTTGGTGTACAAAACAGAGCAAGGGGCAGACATCCATTCCCTGGGAAGGTGGGTACTTACTGACACCCAGGGGTGACTCAAGATTTGTCCCGCAGTACACCGAGCTTCAACGTTTACCTGAAGCATTTGACTTATTAATTCCTATAAAAAAAGAAAGAAGACCACAGAGAAGGAAAAAGGGGAAAATTTTCAGAATATAGAAACCTGAACTTGCACCAAGCGCTCCAGGGAACAGGCCACATAGCTGCTCAGAACTGAATGTGAAAGCCACACTCTTTGTGCCCACTAGGCATTTACCAGAGCCATCCACCTGTGTCACCGGCAGTGCAAGAGAAGGCTTCTCCCAGGCCTCCATGAAATCAAGATGTTCTCCCTAGGAGTTCTGGGTTGTTGTCACTCCACAGGGTCCTGCTGCAGTATTTGGTCCTTTTGCCAATTTAGCAAGACTTGTGAATTTATTCTTCTATTTTGATAGGCACCCACATAGTTCTTTTTTTTTTTTTTACTTTTTTTTTTTTTGGATATACATAATGGTAGAGTATATTTTGACATTCTACATACATGGAGTATAACTTCCCATTTTTATGGTTGTATATGATGGGGAGTCATACTGGTTGTGTATTCGTATGTGAACATGGGAAAGTTATGCCCAATTCATTCTACTATCATTCCTATTCCCATCCCTTCTCTCTTCCCTTCATTCCCCTTTGTCTAATCCAATGAACTTCTATTGTCCCCTCCCACCCCATATTTATTGTGTGTTATCATCCACATATATCAGAGAGAACATTTGGCCTTTGGTTTTTTGGGATTGGCTTATTTCGCTTAGCATGATACTCTCCAGTTCCATCCGTTTACCAGCAAATGCCATAATCTCATTCTTCTTTCTGGCTAATATTCCATTGTGTATTTATACCACATTTTCTTTATCCATTCATCTGTTGAAGGGCACCTAGATTGGTTCCATAGTTTGACTATTGTGAATTGAGCTGCTATAAATATTGATGTGGCTTTGTCACTGTAGTATTCTGATTTTAAGTCCTTTGGGTATATACTGAGGAGTGGGATAACTGGGTCAAACGGTGATTCCATTCCAAGTTTTGTGAGGAATCTCCATTCTGCTTTCTGGTGTGGTTGCACCAATTTGCAGTCCCACCAGCAATGTATGAATGAGTGTACCGTTTCTTCCAAATCCTCGCCAACATTTATTGTTAGCTGCCAATACATACTTTGTGAATTAATGAAAGAATGAATGTTTAGAGATTAGAGGAACAAGGTAGGCATGGTGGACCAGGAAGACAGTCAGTTAGGCTTTCAGCATTTGGTTAAGAACTTCAGGGACTTTACCACGGGGTGGTGGACTTAAAGAAGGACCATACATTAAAAATTGAAGAAGTCCTGGACCTACATGCCCCATGTTACAGGTGAGTACCCCATGACATAGTTCAACCCACAGAGTCAGGCCTAGACGGTACCTTGGCTGAATCTGTGATGTTATCCCAGTAGGGCGCTGGAAACTCCAGCTTCCCAGCCAAGATCTGGTCGAAGAGGTCTTCCTGGAGATTGTTCTCACTAAGTGACAAAGAAATGGGAGAAAAGTCAAGTCACCCAACAGTTTTTCAAAGAAATGCTCACGGGAAGTGGAGTCGGTCTCCCTGGCTTGGGCCTTTCATGTCTCAGTGTGTGTCACAACTGCAGTCACAATCTTTCCTTTTAGACAAGGAGACAAAGAGCATTTCTGCAGGCCTGGGAATAAGAGAAACAGACGATAACTTAAGAAATTCACTGAACGAATGCCGAGTTTCTGTTTGGGAAGATGAAAAAGTTCTGGAGATGATGGTAGGGATGGCTGCACAATGAGAGTCCTCTGTGCCACTACCCCATACACTTAAAGATGGTTAAGATGGAGGCCATGTACCTGTCATCCCAGCTGTGAGGGAGGCTGAGGAAGGAGGCTCACTGGAGCCCACAGGTTTAAGATCAGCTTGGGCAACACAAAGAGACCCTGCCTGGATGAGTGGAGTGGGGACAGTTAGAATGTCAAATTCAATCTCATGGAGATTTACCACAATAAAAAAATGAATCAGAAAAAAAAAAAACGGAATCTACAAGTGATGGAAATTTTCATTTCAAGAAAAAATGAAAACAAAAACCAGTCCTCACTTCTCTCTCATGGCGGAGTAGAGAAGCAGCAAACCTGAGTCAGATACATGTGACTGTCCTCTTTCTGTTTCTAATAAAACAGCAAAGATCAGTGAAACAGCTGACCTATGGAAAAGTCGAGGGAGCGCAGAATCTGGATCCAACATCCATGACTGAATCAGCTCCCCCACTAAGACCTGACTCTCTCTCAGACCCCAAGGAAGAGCCTCCCCCAGGAGGCACCTGAGATTACACAGACCCAGCAAACCCGCCTTGGCGGCTCCCAGGTGGGCATCCCCCGCAAGCCCCTGTGCAGAGGGTCCCACCCCACAGGTGCACGCTATGCACAGTGCTACCTGATGAAGAAATGACGCGAGTTTCAGATGAAGGCACCAGGAAATGTGAACACACTAGTGGGAAAGTCTGAGGCTCTTGGCAATTTCTTGGCAGCCACAGTGCTGTGGGCACACAGATGGCTGGAGTGAGGGATAGAGGGAGGGACAAGTCTTTCTCTTTCTGGGACCATTACTGGGCCCCATCAGAAAATTCAGAATGGGTGTCTGGGACCAAGCTCAACGTCCAGGAGTGGAAGCTGTACTTTCGGCAAGTGTGTGGCATTTCCCGGAACTTCTCCACCCAGCCTTCAGGGTTTTGCTCTCAGAGAGGGACAAAGACAAATGCGGTATCCCTAGATGTAGATGGTTTATGGCAGTGTCTAGAGACAAATTCTAGGGCTCTGTGATGATAAGGCAGCCTCGTTTTTGTTCTATTTAAAAAAAGAAGAGTTTGCGAGCTTTGTGAAGACCTGGGCTCTGAACCACACCCAGCCTGATGGACATCTGCGGGTCCACGCAGCCTGGACAAAGGCACGGCGAGAAGGTCAGGCTGGACAGCCAGGCATGGGAGAGACCCTCCCTCTTGCCTGAAGAGAGACCTTCTTCGGGGACACACAGATTTCCTTGTAGGTTGTAGGTTTCTTTCTTTCACTGTTTCATCCCTACGACTACACTCAGCTCAACACCCCTTTCACAATGAGTGAAGAACACACAGAGGGACACAATGAGGTTTTACAGGAGCCTTCAGAAAACCAGAGGACAACAGACCGTGTTAGGAGAAGACAGAAAAAAAATGATCATCTATTTCTGAAATTTTTCCTTCAAGCTCTTCCTCCTTATTCCACTCATCTCACCTTGATTTCCTTGCAATCTCAAATAGCCTATGTTCTGTCAATCTGTTTAGCTTTCTTGTTGTTCATAAGTAACTGGACGCTGTCAGTAGGACTGTGGCACTTGGAGATTTCACCCAAGTCAACAAACAAAACCCTGGGGCATCTCTGCAACTAGAGCAGGAGGGACCTCAAAGCATGACCCGCAAGAGCTGTAGCACCCACTGGAAGAAGAGAAAACCAAAGATAACCCATCAGCTACTCTGAACCCACACTGGATGTATTGTCACACTCTGCCACCTGGCTGAGATGTTTCTGGCACTTTTTAATTCTAAAACAACACAGCCCTTGGAAGCAGGTGCTGGATGTTGAAAACTGACCAGTAAGAAAAACCTCAAAACAACAAGAGAGTCAGTGCACACCCCTTGTCCAGGGACAAGTCATCCCCGGTCAGACAAGGCAAGGCGGGCCACAACTGACGTCCCAGGGCCTCAGTTAGGGAGTGAAGAGAAACATCAAGAACCTTGTTCTGCCCTACGAATACTTCTTGTCAGTGGCCCTAAGAACAGATTTGCCTAGGCAGCAACGGAAATTTGGAGTGCTCTCAAAAACCAATCTCCTTCCTAGTACAGATGAATCTGAGTGAAAAAAAAGAGTGGAGGAGAACACGTCTTCAAACCAGAGCTAAACCCTAAAACCTCGGAAAAAGAAAGAATGAGAGACTTGGTGGTCAGAGACGCTGAAACTGGAAATTCCAAATAACAATTTCAGCTCAGAAGTTTTAGGTTTAAGTTGCCTTCTGAATGAAGCAAAAAAATAAAATATTGATATATTTGTTTAAAGAACTTTTACTTCAGGTACAAATTTATGTAGATAATCTATTTTACACCATAATCATATATCTTTTGAGTTCCCAATTCCATAACATTCCATATACTTTTTTACACTATAACGATAGGAAATCTACTTACAACATCTCTGTATGCTGTACAGAGGTTCTGTAACTAGTGTTTAATAGCACAGACTGTTTCGACACAATGACATGGAGGAGGGAAAGCATCTTCTTTAACTTTGGAAGAGGGCTCCCTGGGGCTGTTGGGGTCGGCTTCTGCATAGCAGGGCAGCTTTCAGTGTAGCCAACCGATTCTCATTAGCCAAGGTCACGTCTAGATCCCACAAAGAAGCTGCTGCCCACTGGGTAGCCATCCATAAGCACATACTGCTCCATTCGAGTTTCAATTGTTAAGTAAAAAAAAAAAAAAGGCAGCAAACCCCCAGACCAAGGACCCACCCAGGCTGCACTGGTGACTGTAAACACTAGAGGGAGTCGTGAGCACACATTCCTGTAAACCTGATCCCCAGGGTCCTTCCCTGCGGATCTCCACTTGTCTAGCCTCCAGGTAAATAGCTGCAAAGAGCCCCAGGACCACCTGCTACCAAAATTGGCTCCTCTTCTGCATTAGACTAGTTCTCACTCAATGGGTTGTCACTAAAACCAGCCAGGGCCCAGGATGACTGTAAAAATGGCCAGGAATATGTTGCCCTCGTTCTGACAGACTCACTTTCTTCACTTTCCCCCACATTTACTCCAGAATTAGCTACTAGAATTGATTTGATCAATAGTGACAAGGGTGAGGTGAGCAGAGACTGGGAAAGGGACAGGGAGGTAGAACTCATCTTCTCTCTGGCTGCTTCTGGGAATCCTGCCTCCAACATCATGAGAAGCCAAGGCCAGCCCAGTGGATGATGAAAAGGCATGTGGCCAGGTCATCTCTGTTGTCCCAGCGGACATCCAGCCCACTATCAGGCACATGAGTGAGGCCACGCTAGACCACCACGTCCCACCATGTCAGTACAGAACCACCTAATCAACCCACAGAATTGTTTCACACCCCTAACTGTGGAGTGGTTACTTGGCAAAAGCTAACTACCGGGTGCACTAATCCTATAGCCCATGAAACCCACCTGAGCATGACCTTGAAGGAAGACCATGATGTTGATGGCTAGATGGACAGACTGTCCTCCTATAAAACCCTCTCATACCTCAAGGTCCCACTCCACTGTTCCATCTTGCTTTCAACATTTTATGATTTCTAGCCCTCAACTAAGCATGTCCTCAAGCTTTAGTCTTCTTGATCAATATTTCTGTGATGTAGGTTTCTAGACCATAAAACTCTCAAAGCAAAGACTGACATCTCTGTGTCAATCTTCTGCTGATGGCAAAAAAAAAAAAAAAAAAAATACTGTTTAACTTAGTTAAAACCTTTCAACTTTTCTGTATGCTTGAAAGTTTTCATATTCAAATGAGAGAAAAGATAAACCTATTTTTCTCTTACTGACCCAAGACAACACTATAAACACCAAGACCAAATTCTGGTGTCTCCCCAAAATTCATATGTTGAAACTGATCCCCAATGTGATGGCATAAGGAGGTAGGAGGTGACAGATCACAAAGGCAAAGCCTTCATGAATGGGGTTAGTGTCCTGGTAAAGGATCCTAGAGAGCCCCCCTTTCCTTTCTGCTATGTGAAGGTGCAGGGAGAAAATGGCTATCTATAAACAGAAGGTGTTCCCCCAACAGACACCAAATCTGCTGGTGCCTTCATCTTGGACTTCCTGTCTCCATAACTGGGAAGATTAATTTCCATTGCTTCTAAGCTACCCAAACTGGGGCATTTTGTTACAGCAGCAGGAACAGACTTAAACATACCACAGTCACAGGGATTAGGCTCTGCCCCCACTTTATTCCCAGCACTTAGAAGAGTGGCTGCCTTACAGCAGTTATTCAACAAATGAATCTAAAATGATTAAAGGGATTAAAATAAAAACAACACTCAAGGAAACAGAAGAAAATCAAATGTGTATTGTGAGATAAACTTTGGCTTCAAAGTCATTCATTTGCTCCAGAGAGAGAAATGACACTGACCAGAAGAGCTGCAGCCAAGCCCCTCACTTTTGCCAGGACCCAGGCTGCTAGGTGAAGGGTGCAAAGCCCTGGACCGTCATCTGTGGCCACCTCCACTCCACCAGGGGAGGCATGTGGTGGTCAGGAGCTCATTCTCAGGCATGCTGATGCCAAAAGTTACTTGTGATTCTACTTCTTAACTGAATAGCATGTGAAGGGCTAAAATGAATATAAAAAGAGAGTGCCTGTTTCTATAAGAACAAAGTTGAAAACTTTGTAAAGATTATACAAAAAGTGAACTGTTTAAGAAAAAACTATCAAATTAAGTAAAAGTGACCATTATTGACAACTGGGGGTAAAAGTCTACCTGGAAGGATTCAGCTACTTCACAAGGAATTTTATGTTGTACTCTTATTTAAAAAGACTGAGAAACTAGAAATCGTAGACCCTGAATTATGGATATACTGTATGAAAGAATGGCCACAGAAACTCAGGACCATACGCAAAGCAGAGGCCTTGCCTCTTATCTGAAGTGTGGTCAGGCTAGGCTGTAGTTAGAGCGGGTACTCGGCATGTATGAAGTCCAACTCCTAAAACAAAACAAAACAAACCAACAAAAAAGGTGTGGTCAATGAATACACATTGGCAACACTGGCAGGCTGTAAATTAAGATGAAAAAGTGAAAGATGCATTTACAATGTTTAACATTTTTATTGGCCAACCAGTTTCTGATCCCAACTGCCAGGAATAAAGCATCCAAGAATGTATAATCCCAATAGAGCCACCCAAAGCACCACTGACCTTCGGAATGGTGGGAATCCACATAGAAGTATGTACGTGATCACACCAGCCGCCCAAATGTCCACCTTCAGGCCATAGCTGGGAAAACAGAGGAAGGAAGGAATATGATACAGCCCCCAAATACCCTCCATGGAGGGAAAAATTGGGGGTCATCAAAGTGTTCATTTCATGTAGAAGAATGAATCAGCCTTTGGTCAAAGTCATCTGTTTCTCTTTCAACCTAACTACAATCTTGGTGACTCTTGTTCAATGATAAACACTGGCTCCAGGGCAAAAGTCCCCGCGTGGGGCTCTTGGCCAGGTAAGCACAAACTCAAGTTCCTGACATCAAAGTCACAGTGCAGGTCAAGCTCTCTCGCTGCCTCACGTTCTCGCCTTCACAGGAGGCACTCAACACACAAGCACAGTTGCCACAAAAATGTACTTTCCTCCCCAGAGTTAAAGCACTAACAACCACCAGGGCTCTTACCCAGTCTCAGCGATGATTTCAGGGGCCACATAAGTCGGCGTGCCACAGACCGTGTACAAAGGGCCTTCCACCACCGTGGCCAGCCCAAAGTCTCCCAGTTTCAAAGACTTGGTTCCATCGGGATATTCACACACCTGCAGCAGAAAGCAGCCTACAGTCAGAAGGTTCCCCCAAAGCAACTTCAAGAGGACCCTTAAAATGAAGCGGAAAAGATAGGTACACTTATCAGTCAAATCAGAAGAATTTACTCCATGTGATATGAACACCACGAGTTACCTCTGATCTTTGATTCTTCTCTTCAGGGATTTTTCTTGACTGCGTGAAATTTAGAAGACATTGTTTTCCATCTTTGCAGAAAGTAAACTACCCTAGGAACCTAAGGAACCACTGTGCTTGCTCACACGGAAAGGTGGATGCTTATGTGATGGGCTTGAGGGGCCTGGAAGCCTGGAGGCAGGAAACTGACCTTTATTTGGTACTTACTGTGTGCAAGGCACTGGACAGCCAAAGAAAGGGTGCTTATTAAACCACCAAAGTACTTCAGGAGTCATTAAAGTTTACTCTAGGAAATAAAATTAGGGGTGGGGATGGCAGCCTTGTTTTCTATACAATGATAAAATATAAAATATAAATATCATAAACTTTTTGTTTGTTTGTTTTGCTTTGCAGTGCTGGGGATGGAACCCAGGACTAAGCAAACACTCTACTACTGAGCTACACCCCTAGCCCAAAATGCAAATATTATATAGGGGAAAACCTTGGAAGTTGGGGGGGGGGGCGGAATGGACTTTGGGATTAGCCTCAACCTGAATCACAGCTCTACTCATCTCCTGGCTGTATGACCTGTGAACAGATCTCTTCACCTCTCTGAGCAGATCTGGGAAGTGCAGAGATACTCAGCCTTTCCTTGTGGAGCTGGTGTGAAGGCATACTGCGGCAAACCACAGATCAGGGTTCAGTAAACACCGCCTCCAGTTCCTGGGAGGATTGGCTGACGACATAATTATCACACGGGAAAAGGTTTAAAAACACTGGTGAAGAGGTGAACATATATGCTTCAACTGAAGCATGTCTGCAGTGGTATCAAGAATCTTAACATTGTTCATAACCTTTGACCCAGTAAATCTGCATGTAAAAAAATCTATCCTAAGGGAAAAGGGACAGACCCAAAGGCCCCACACAGGGATGTTAATATCAGAATTTATGTATGATTAGAAACTGGAAGCAACACAAACCTCTAACAGGACAGTGGTGTTTATAGTGATTTGTATAGTAAAATATTATACAGTTGCTAATAAGCACTTTTCAAATAAATATTATATTAATGATTTTCAATATATTATATGAAATTTTAAAAAATCATATATGAAATACAATGCCCCAAATGTTGACAAGAGGTTGCATTAAGAATTATCTTAATTTTCTTATTTATGCTTTTCAGTAGTTTGCAAAACATTTATAATGACTATGTATATTAGTTCCATAATTAAGAAAAATGATTTTTATATAAAAGCAACTTTTCCTTATGGGATAAAAATCTGAAAGTTACATTCTAAATCAATAGCTTCAGAAGCAAGCACACAAACACACACATATACATGTGTGTCTGTGTGTGTGTATATATGTATATATGTATATACATGCATACACATATATGTATGTATATATATAAACAGCGTAATTTGGATTTGACTGTATTTGACTGGATTTAAATGTCTGTATCGTGTAGTCTTTTTTTAAAAAAAATTTTTAGTTGTAGACGGACACAATACTTTTATTTATTTGTTTTTATTTTTATGTGGTGTCAGGGACCAAACCCAGTGCCTCACACATGCTAGGCAAGTTTTCTACCCCTGAGCCACAACCCCAGCCCCCTGTGTAGTCTTTAATTTGCTGATATCATCTGTCTCTTGGGTGCCTACTTTTAAAATAATGAATTTCAGGACTGGGGCTGGGGCTCAGTGGTAGCGTGTTTGCCTGGCATGTGTGAGGCACTGGGTTCAATTCTCAGCACTACATATAAATAAATAAAATAAAGGTTTATCAACAACTAAAATATATATGTGTGTATGTGTGTGTGTGTTTGTGTGTGTATATAATTTAAAAATAAATAATGAATTTCAGAGAAAAATAATTTCAGAGACCTCGTCTACCCCGCCTTTCTCTTTTTGTATATTAAGTATATTTTGTTTGCTTTTGCTCTCATTTTACTATGGGCTGAACCAGATTTTCATCTCAACCACTACTAAATAGAGGAGGAGAAAAGTCTAGAAAATGTTCTTTCCAGACAAGGATGCTAACAATGTCTTCTGTTAGTCTAAAACTTGGTGGTGGCTGATTTATAAGGTCAGCAACAAAAAGCATCAAGATCCCAGGGCTCCCCATGCCAAGGGTTCCCCAGGCTTTACAGGTATTTTATAAAGTATGACAGCATAACACCTCCCTTGCCTGCAAAGACTTCATCTGAGTAAGAACAGTTTTTACCTTGGTATTTTCATCACTTCTTCCATGCTTATTATATATACATCTTTATGACTTAAAAGTATCATAGGAGTAGTGGTGAGAATTTTACGTCCAGCTCAGATATTTCTATTTTGAGTCAGCAGAAACATATTCAAAGATATTAATGATTTAGCCTAAAGTCCCAGAGTCTAGGTTCTTACTCATCTCACAGACTTAAGACAACTTTCTATTCATTAGACTTAGACGTAAACATTAACAAGAACAGTCTACTATAATTACAGTTAGGATTTATGATGCATTTACTGAAACCCAGACATTAGAAATTCCCTAAGTAATTTCAGCGATAAGAACCTTATAAGCACAATTTCCTAAATGTCTGTATCGTGAGTCAAAAAAAAAAATCTTACTGATGTCATTGTTATTTTGTTTATACAACTTAAAAACACACTCATTAGGTACCAGTTTTGAAAAATAACGTTTATATTAAACACTCAATTTGGAGATGCCTAGGGGTATTTTAGAGTTGCTGTTGGAATCTCAAAAGTCCCTGAAGCCCCGTTTTTCACATCCCCATAAAGAATTCAGAGTCAGATGCAGGGGCATAAGTAGGAAGGGATTAAACAGTCTATAGTCGCTGAATTATATCTGGGCAAGTGGTGCTCCATGACCAAACACCAAAAGGGACGTGCCCTGAGGGGCAAACAAGCCTGATTCATCTCTCCCCAATGCTACACACAAAAGAAAATATGTAAAATATGAGTCACTTTCAAATCTTACCTGGCGATTCTCTTCAAAGAAGGAAGAAAAATTAAATATATATTGTATTTATAGCATTCCTTTTAAAAAACTGACTTTAGGGTTGGGGGTGTAGCTCAGTGATAGAGCACCTGCCCAGCACGCCCAAGGCCCTGGCTTCCCTCCCCAGCACTGCCAAAAGAAATAAAGAAAACTGACTTTAGGGCTGGGGGTATAACTCGGTAGTGGAGCACTTGGCTAACATCATGCCTGAAGCCCTGGGTTGCATCCCCAGCACCAAAAAAAAAAAAAAAGTGAGAAGAAACGAAACTGACAATTGACCTTAATAATGAGGTGAATAAATGAACAGGGACTCCAAAGACATTTTCAAGGACTCTGTAGCTAAAAATATTCTCCCAAACTTTATCTTAGTGGACTTCTGTAGTGAGCCCACTGGGCAATTACAGCACTATTATTTCCACTTCACAGATGAGGAAACTGAGACACAATAGCAGAACTCAATCTATTGATAAGTGACCAAACAGGGTTTTCAGCCAGGACCCTTGCTACTGACTTCCTTTCTTACAGCCACACCATTCTGCAGTACACCCTGCCTCTGAACACAACTGCCAGAGCCCCGACGGCCGGCTGCACGTGCACAGATTTGGAGTGGATTTCAACGGCAACTGTGAGAGCTCCAGCCCCACAGTGTTCAAATGCCCCATCACACACCGAGAGATGCTCTGACAAAAGTTGCTCTTGGAATGCAAAAATAAAATATGTGAGGAATGCAGGCCCCCCATACCAAGTGAGCACTGCATGCTCTCTAAATAAAATGTCAGTGTAATGATTTAGAAGGACTTCAAATAGGAGAAACCAACCCTCTTCTCTCCCCTGTCCCCAGAACTCCTGGAAAAGGTGGAATTTATCACTGGTCTCTCATAGTTAACTCTGACAGAGCACCGCCGGGCTGTAACTCACAGCATTAACGGCCACCCCTGTGCTCCCTGACACAGCGACCCATACATCTCTGCTGGCAGGGTTTTAAATTATGACACTGCTACCAGGGAAGGGGATGCAAATCAGATGCCTGAATGTTCTGGTGTTTAAAAACTGAATTAGTTCTTAGACAGGGAGAGGCTGGCAGTTGCTCCGGGTATTTCTGTCTAGGGTCCCGATGACACTTTTTCCTCCAAGGCCAATGCAGACCTGCTGACTAAGCCTAGAGGCAGATGAGTTATCCAGTAGGTTTTCAATGGCTGACACACCTTACTTATGTATGTGCATTTGAGGCTGTTTCTGGGCCTGATCCCCTGGCCTTGCTACGTCACACATCAGCATCACCTGAAAGTCAGTTGTATCACCTTCATTCTCCCCTTTGGGTAGCACATGGAGGCTGGTTCAGATTTTGGAAGAGGTGAACATTCATTTAGGACAGATTAGACTAGATAAGAAACTTGATTCCGATTTCCTGATCACTCTCTGATGTTAGAAATGGCCATACTGATCATATCATCTATCCCTGATGTACGACATGAGGAGGGAATACTGGGTTCAGATTCTAAGGAGACTTCATAAGTGTTAAGAAACCGAGTGGCAGGCAGAGGGTGGAGCTCCCTGGCACAGTACTTGCCTAGTATGCACAAGGCCCTGGGTTCACTGCACAGAAACCAACCAGGCAGCGGGTGGGAGAGGGAAGAGGAGGGACCATGAGCAGAAGGGGTGGTGAGTGGGACCAATGAGCTGGAAAATGAACACTCTGTAATGCCCATCTCCTTCCTTCCTGGGCCTTGGCAATCAGAGCTGTAGGACAGGTTGGCTCAGGGTAACCAGTCCTTCCACAGAAATCTATGGCTTCCATGTTCACGGAGAACAGTAATGACAGGGTCCACTAGGCTGAATGGACTGTGCAGAGCAAGGAGTCAAGAGGCATTCTCAATAATACAAAACTGTAGCCACATCTGGAGAAAGCCCTGTCACCTTTGCTTGTAAAGCCCCTGGCCAAGCTCAGTCAGACAGTGGAGGGGCCTGGCAGCTGCTGCTAGTCATAATAGTGAGAAGTCTGTTTGGAGACGTGAACACCACACTTCTGCTCTTATCCTGAGGCTTAACTTGCACCTCTGTCTCTTTTCCTCATTAGAGTTTGAAGACAGAGTCAGAATGTAACTTTTTTTTTTTTAATACAGCAGGGATTTTTTTTTTTCCAATTGGAACATGTAAAAATTAAATTCAGTTTGAATATCCCGTATCAAAAAGGCTTGAGGGGCTGTGGATATAGCTCGTGGTGGAACACTTGCTTAGCATGTTGAAAGTCCCAAGATTCATTCCAGCAAATAAGCCGTATTAGTGGACAAGGACTATGTGCATACATAGTCCTCGCTACACAGGAAACTAAGGCAGTAGGGTGGTTGGAGCCCAGGACATTGAGGCCAGTCTGGGCAATGTAGTGAGATCCCTTCTCTTAAAAAACAAATGCACAAAAGGAGGAGGGAAAAGGGAGGATCATGAACCAAAATCAATTTCCAACTACAGTGTATAACTACTGAGCTCTAGTTATCAAGAAAAAAAAAAAAAGCGGAAAAAAAACAGTAAATCTGTCTCCCCATCAGTTGATGCAAAACCTTGACACTAAAGAATTTGTTCACTTATTTAAAAAAAAAAATGCACAGAACCATAAATGTTTTATATTTTGGAATATTTGCATATATATAATATTTAGGGGATGAGGTCCAAGTTCAACATAAATTAATTTACGTTTCATTTACAATATTTTAAATAATTTTGTTCATGAAACAAAGTTTCATGGTGTGGAATATTGTGACACATTGGTACTTAAAAGTTGCACACTTTGGAGGATTTTGGATTTTGAATTTTGAGGTTGGGATGCCCAATCTGTTTAATTTCCTCAAGGCAGATGATAGTTTAAAAAAAATGGAGGCTGGGGATGTGGCTCAGTGGTAGCGCGATCGCCTAGCATGCGTGAGGCACTGGGTTTGATTCTCAGCACCACATAAAAATAAAAGATATATTGTGTCCACCTAAAACTAAAAAATAAATATTTTTTTAAAAATGCACATACTTTTAGATGGACATTGAGAAATTATCAGATGCTATTACCAAAAAGGGAAGATGAAAATCCTGGATTAAAAAAACAATTAAAATCCCTGGGACGGCTCCAAAGGCTGCACACATATCTTTAAACAACCACGTGGGTGGTGCAAGCCCAAGCAGGGCATCCAGACCTGTGTTCAAGTGCCAGCTCCCGGCCAGCTGAGCGACCTCTGCACATCCACAGTGTGCTCACACGGTCCTGTCCAAGGCATTGGAGATGAAAAGGAAACTGAGACATCAACCTCGTCTCTGTGGTGCTTACACCTGAAGGACGGACGAGTGGAAGATAAAACCCCAACACCGCGGCAAGTGCAGCAGGAGCCCGAGGTAACCGGAGCTAAGCCCTGCTCAGAGCGTCTGGGGTCAAGTTGAAGATCTAACTCTTGCTCTCAGCGTCCCACAAGAGGAACAGGTTTGCCACATTGAGGGCAGAGGGGATGCTACAAATGGCAACCAGGATGGACAGAAGCAACGGAGGTCAGGCTGGGCTGCTGGGGAGGAGTTTGGGTTGCCATGGTGCAGAACACTTGGCTAACCTCACCTCCCAAGTGCTAAGTACGATACTCAGCCCAAAAAGGTGGGAGAAGTCAACTGTCCAGCGTGTGTTTACAGGGATATGTGCATGCAAAATTCCAGAAGCTTCTCTAAACTCCCTCTGCAGTGTGGTCACAAGGACTGGCTCCCCACGAGCAAGCTGTGTTGTTATCAAGGTGCACTGTGGAGGTGAGTTATGACAGGAGAGGAGGCTGGGAAAGTAGACTGGGATGTTTATGGCGATCCCTGAGTGTCACAATTATGAACAAGGCTTTTCCTCCTGTAGAACAATAGGATAATGACACTTTCAAGAAAAATTAGCATCTCCTGGTCTCAATTTCCACACTGTAAAACTGAGACAGGTGGGACTATTTCCAAAATTCTCTCCTGCACTTAAAGGCACCTCCATTTTCTACTTTGGTCTCCTAGGAACCTTTATTTCCTTCTCCAAATTTATTTTACAGAATTTTTGACCCATAAAATAAATTTCATGCTCTTCTTTCTTCAGTCAATTCAATATCATTGCTATAGGGACTGGGGTTGTGGCTCAGCGGTAGAATACTCACCTAGCACATGTGAGGCCCTAGGTTCAATCCTTAGCACCAAATAAAAACAAATAAATAAATACATTAAAAAACGGAAATCAATCAAAACATCTAATGTCTGGTAAACAGTAAATGCAAATCAATTCAAGAAACCATTAGTATTTTAAGGTCACTGACTTGACTCCTGCTGCAGGATCTGAGCTCTTACTGCAGGATTGGTTTAGACCCTAGTCCGTCACTGCTTGCTTGCACATGATACGATGATTTAAAGGACAAACAGTGCAAGGTGAAACAGAAGAGGTGAAGACAACGTACCAAGAGGTTCTCTGGCTTGATGTCTCTGTGCACGATGCTGAGGCTGTGGAGATACCTGAGGGCGTTGGCCAGGTTGTACACCATGGCGCTGCCATCTCTCTCCGTGTACTTGGTTGAAGAAGTAATTGCATCAAAGAGGTCTCCACCCTGAAGGATATTGGAAAAGAACACAGCAAAACATTAGCGGCGCAGTCCATTGAAGGCCAAGGAAGTGCTTCAGGTGCTGCTATAACTGACGATTGTGAACAAGGAAAGTTACAGGCATCAAGACACGTGTCTGATCAGGCCTTCCAGGAACACTGTGAAGCCCTGGGATCGGGCGCCGAGGGGATTGAGCATCCCCTTACCTTGACCAGTTCCATCACCAGGAAGAGCTCGGTTGCCGTCTCCATCTCCTCGACGAGCATGATGATGTTGGGGTGTTTCACTCTGCGCAGTATCGACACTTCGTTCTCAATCAGGTGTTCCTGTCAAGTGAAAGGTGCAGAGAGGGTCAGAGCCCACAGCACCCTCTGCCCCGTCCCTGTGGATAACACTCCGATAGACCCAAGGCCAAGGAGGCATCTCTTGATACAGAGGCAACCACATCCCCACCTACTTGGCTCCTACAGGACAGGACAGGTCAGTGTGGATGTCTTATTGTCACTGCCAAAAAGAACCAGACCTCTGAACGTGCCCCAGAAGCTCAGAGGTGCTTCTCTGGAACATAAAGCATATTGCTTCAACTCAGGGGCTGTGACTGGTGAAAGCGTGGGCACATAGCACTGTGCTTTGCAAGTCAGTGGACCACTTTTAATTCCAATACAAAGTAAGGATGAGGCATGTGCAGCTGGATGCAGTGGCACATGCCTGTAATCCCAACGACTCAGGAGGCTGAGGCAGGAGGATCGCAAGTTCAAAGCCAGCCTCAGCAACTTAGCCAGGCTGTAAGCAATTTAGTGAGACACTGTCTCAAAATAAAAAAAAATAAAAAAGGGCTGGGGATGTGACTTAGTGGTTAAACAACCCCTGGTTCAAATCCCTGGTACCCCCCCCCCCCCAAAAAAAAGATAAGGCATCAAGGCATGTAGAAAAACTTGGTAAGCTTATGGCACATAACACACCTGGCATTAAACATTTTTAGTTTTTAACCATGACCAATATGAATTTTACTTCCGTGCTGAAATTCATTAAAAAAAAAAAGGAAAGAAACTTCCTGCCTTTATAACTGGATATGAAATCCTTCACCAGATGGCTGGTCCTGCTCATCTTGCATTTCAGAAATCTGAAAACACATAGCACCGTGGGGACCACTACTCTCATTTTAACTTAATCACTTCTCTGAAAATGCCACCTGATTATCAGCCCTGGTGAGTAATGCAGTTGGGATCCGTGCTGCAGCAAAATGTTTACTTACAGAAATTAAGGAATCATTCTCAATACGTGAAACCATGAATCACGAGCAATGATTGCTTTATTTTAAATGAGACATGAAAACCCCTTGGCAATACCACATTTGTTGATCCTCATTAATGTCAACGATGAATTATTTTGAATTTAGAGAATGCTCTATAAAATGTGCTAATTGCCTTCTTACCACATTCTAGGTATTCAAACTGGATAGCTTTTACATAAAATGTACCTTATGAGAAATATCATTCACTACCTAAACACACATGTATGTACACACCTACATAGATATGTGCCATCCATATCATTCATATTGCTCTTGTGCCTTCTCCATTGTGAATCTCAGACCAAAATTTAGTGCTCTGATATAGTATTTTATCCCTCGTTGGATACCATCTATGGTTCTTCTCTTGTCTTCGTGTATCCATGTATGTATGTATTTTTACTCTAAGCCATCTCAAATCCTTTTTGACGATAGCAGGAGATATTAACTATGACAAATAAATAAATAGCATTCAGAGAAAATCTGCTGCAAGCTCTTGCATATGGCCAGTCGTGTTGCTTGAGCGTGGAATGCACCGTGCTCGTCCAAGAAGTCACTCGATAAATGTTGGCAGGTGACAGCGCAAACGCTAAGCAGAAGCAAAGAGAAGGAAGGAACCAACCACGGCTAGAAATCTGCTCACTCGTGTCGGTCACTGTAAGGTACTTGGGTAATCTTGTAACTCTTCATCCTTAGAAGAGTCCTTGGAAGTAGGAATGCAAACCTAGGTGTCCAGCATCTGAGTCCACATCCCCCGCACGACACATGGCTTTTCTAAGGGGAATGCTTCAGTAAAATTCAACTTGGAATTTTTCTAAATGAAAATGAAAGCTACAAGCAGTAGCATTCACACTGACCTGGGGGTGGAGAATCACACCAAGCTTCGTGTAAGAAGAAAAATCTGAAATCTACACAGAGAGCAAGGCTGGGAAGTCTTTGACTAAGTTAGGACTCACCCAGCACTTCCAAACCTTCCAGAAACACAGCAGTCCTCAGACCTCGCAAACCACCACTGGGAAGGGAGGGAAAGGGCTTCCTCCCCACTTCCAAGTACCATCTGTCTAAGTTACAGAGCAGTCCACTGCAGCAGGCGGCCAGAGACCTGTCCCTCCCTCGGGAAGCAGCTATGCACCCCACACTGTCGTCACAAATGAAAGGCTTGGCAAACCCTTCACATTTATTCACACATTTTGAAGCATTTAGGTCATCTGTGCCAAGTATGTCCCTAGTCACACTAAAAAAAGCAGAGTTATATGTAAAAGCAAGCAAATGGATTTGTTTCACTTTTATGTGAAGCAAAGACAATGACATTACTACCACTGTAGTAAAATAGGCTTTTTATTTTATGGTGCCGGGGATTGAACCCAGGGTCACTCTATCACTGAGCTACAACCCCGACCCCCTTTTTCATTTATTTTTTTAATTTTGATCAAACCTGTGATCCTCCTGCCTCAGCTTCCCAAGTCACTGGGATTACAAGTATGTGTCACCATGCCCAGTTTAGGCTTTTCATTTAAAAGCTAAGTGTATCTATCACTTCAACTGTTCTCCCCAATTCCTTTTCTCCAAAGTTGGAAGAGTCTATAAACTTGCTTCTCCAGGTCTCTAACTGTGATGTGAATTTACATGTGTCAAGTAACCCCTACCACCAGTACCCCAAGCAGCTCTCTCAAATTGGGAGTTAAAGTTAGATGTCAGCCACACAAGCAAACTACAACTCCCCAAAGTTATTATCTTTTTCAATCAAAGGCATGTGGAAAGCTTTTGGGGCCACACTGTGCACTTCTCCCAGGACCACCAGCAGGGTTGTGTGTCAAATACCAAGCAAGCCCTGCAGCCCTGCTTTCTCCACCATCACCCACCATCTCACTCTCTGCACCCACCTGACAACGGCCAGGACCCCAAGCACAGGGAATGCCTCCGTTGGAGGTGGGAGCTGGGAGCTGGGAGCCTCTGCTTCTCCACCTCTTCCCATCCCTGTGAAATTGCCTACAAACCAACACTCTGATTTCTAAACCAATCACCATCAGAAGCAAACCAAAGCACTTCCCAGAAACGTCAGGTATAGATGTTGTCTCCCCATTTCATAGGCAACCCAAATGTAGTCCGTTTCTAATATTTAAAAATATTCTCTAATTACATTTTCCAGAATATTTTAAAATATCATATGAATATTACTTTTGTCCTGAATCATAATGAACCTCACAGTATTTGATTATCTACTGTTACTCATGTTAGGGGACTCACGATTCTAATGCCAAAAAGCTCACCTGTGAATCATTTTGAGGCAGTGTTCTGCAGCTCAGCGGGAGGGTAAATGACAAGACTGCCAACCTGGCAAAGGACATGGCCTTACCTTTTGACCTTGGTGATTTTGTGTGTGTGTGTGTGTGTTGGGGTGGGGGGAGTACCAGTACCAGGGATTGAACCCAGGAGTACTTAACCACCGAGCCACATCCCCAGCCCTTTTTTCTATTTTTAGTTAGAAACAGAGTCTTGCTAAGTTGCTTAGAGCCTTGCTAAGTTGCTGAGGCTGGCTTTGAACTTGCAATCCTCCTGCTTCAGCCACCTGAGCCACTAGAATTATAGGTATGAGCCACTCACCCGGTGACCATGGCACTTTTTAAAAATTTTTTTTCTTTTAATTGTAAATGGACACAATATTTTATTTATTTATTTATTTATTTATTTATTTATTTGGTGCTGAGGATTGAACCCAGTGCCTCGCACTTGCTCCACCACTGAGCCACAACACCAACCCTTCCAAGGCAATTTTTAACAGAGAGAGAGAGACAGAGAAACATTATGGAAGCCAACAATTCTCTCAAAACAAACCAATCCTCTTGTCTCCATCATTCCCAGCCTCAAACAGTCCTTTCCTCTGCCCTCTCTTTCTCGCTGGCTGCCCCCAGCAGAAGGGGAAATCCCACCCAATTTGGAGCTTTCCCCTCATTATCTAAGATCTCCCATCACTCACCAGTTCCTGCCCCTTTACCCCCACAGGGGCCTCTGAATCCATCCACTCACTCGTTCTACCCCTCTCGCCAATGTCACACCTTCTCACATTTGCACAGGTGATTTTCTGCCTGGAACTTTACCCACCTCTTGTAATCTACTATCTATTCCTCAGTACCAGGCTAGACCTCACCCCCTCTGCTCAGAAGGGCCAGCTTCGATGACCCTCTCACATGCTCCCACTGTCCCCTGCTCTGCACCAGTCAGCCTTTTGAAGGATGACTTCCACTGTCTTCTAGCAGTCGTGCACTTCCTCTGAACTGAGAGTGCGTGTTCCACAGCCAGCCCCATCACTAACTCGCAGCAGGTACCCAAGTGCTTGTGTGCACGAGCACACGCCTCATGCACTCCTCCCGCTCAACGCTGGCTTAACAGCTGCAACTGTACCGCTTAGTAAACACTACTGAGGACAATACAGGAGACAAAATGTTCCAATCACTACAAGGACCACTTCTGGGTGAACAATGGCCACCCACCGATATCAAATGCTAATCCCTAGAATTTGTAAATATGATTATTTGCAAAAAGGGTTTCTGGAGATATGGTTAAGGCGTCTGCAATTTAGAGAGAGCCCTGGATTATCTGGACAAGCTCTAAATGCCATCACACGTGTCTTCTAAGAAAGAGGCAGGAGCTCTCACACAGAAGAGAGGTGACATGGGGATGGAGACAGACTGGAGGGACAGGGTCACATGAAATTGTTCAGAGGCAAGAGACAGGTTCTCCCCCAAAGCCCCAGAAGGAGTGTGGATTTCTAACTTGTGGCCTCCAGAACTGTGAGAGAAATTTTTTTTTTGTTGTTTTAAGCCACAAAGTTTGAGGTAATTTATTCTAATAGCATCAGAAAACTAACACCATATACTTTGGGATTTGTGCACCATCTGGGCCTATGTTAATTAACTTAAGCATTGCTATGGCCAAAATACCTGGGAGACAACTTAGGAGAAGGAAACGTTTATTTTGGCTCATGGTTTCAGAGAGTTAGTCCATGGTGGGCCAACTCCATTGCTCTGGTCCCAAGATGAGGCAGAACATCATGGCAGAAGGGCCTGACTGAGGGAAGCTACTCAACTCATAATGGCTGTCACAGAGGATGGAGGTGGGAGGTGGGACAGGGAAGATGAACCCTTCCAGGACACACCCTCAGGGACCCACCTTCTCTAGCCATGCCCCACTTGTCTACAACGGCCACCAAGTTAGTCCATTCAAACTAGGATGAGGTTATGGTTCTCAAAATCTAATCATTTCATGTCTGAGTATTCCTGCATTGACACAGGAGATTTGGGGGAACATCTCTTATCCAAATCATAACATTCTGCCTTTGAGTCCCAAAAAGCTCATTTGCATCTCAGAAAGCAAAATGCATTTGGCTCATCTCTGAGAGTCCCCTACTCTTAACAGTTCCAGCCTTGGCCAAAAGTCTAAGTCCAAAGTCTCCTCTGAAACTCAAGGCAAAATCTTGGCTGTCAGCCCCTGTGATGATCAAGGCAATTTACAGATAACCAATATGCAATGGCACAGAGTAAACATTCCCATTCTGAAAGAGAGGAATAGAGGCACAGAAAGAAAGGATGGTACCCAAACCCAGCCAAGCAAACAGGTCCCGTAACTCCACAGGAGAACATCAAGGACACCTGGAGGGATATGCCCTCCAAAGGGCTTGGGCAGCCTGGCCCTTTGACCTTACCAGTTGCAGTATTCATGGCTTCTCTCTTAACCTAGCTCTCCCTGCTTCCTGGCCGCCATAAAGGAGCACCACTTTTCCACCCCACCCTTCGGCCATGAGGTTCTACCTCACCTTGGTCCCAGAGTAATTAACTCAGACAGCCATGAGCTCAAGCTCTGAAACCCTGAGCCAAAATAAACCTCCTCCAAGATATTCTAGTCAGCTACTTTGGACACAGTGATGCAAAGATGACCGATACAGGGCTCATAACGTGTAGGTCATGAATGCAAAACTACATGCAGGGAGAGAAAGAAGGACCATATCTAGGTACTACAGCAGAAAGCCCAGGGCTTCGTTCACAGTGGAGATTCAAAAAACATTTATTTAGAATGAAAGAAAATATTAAAACTGGAAGAATCCTTAACATTCACAAAACCATAGCCTTCTCAACAGCCTCCTTAAGCCTGGCCCTGAGGCAGATCTTGCACTGATCTCCCACTTGGAAGGACCTAACATGATTTGTGTCCTCTGAGACTTTGCCCAGCTGTTCTAGCTACCTGGTAGGCTTTTCTTCCACTGGTGCCTACTGACATCCTACTGCGGTTCCAGAGCCAGCTCGAATGCCTCCTGCTCTATGGCACCTTCACTGGTCACCTGCTTCTCTCCCACATGCTTCCCATGAGCTCCTGTAACTCCCTACAGAGTTGGTGACAATTCATCTGTTAAATTATCCATTCCTAGCCCAGTGTCTTGCACATCAACACACACACACCAAGTTCTAGGTAAACCAATCAATCAATCAATGCTCCTGCATATTAAAAAAGAAGAAACAAAAGGCAAAAGAGATGAGCATTTTTCCCAGGTTCTTTTTACCATGAAGAAATAAATTGAACCCAGAGGGGGTGTATGGCAGATGGGCCAATGTACAGGCCACCGATCGGCCCCAAATTCCAGCCACCGTTCTGCTTCTGTGACTTCTGGGAAGCTATTTAATCTAAATCTCTGCTTCCTTATCTGTAGAAGCTCATACAAATGTTTTGCGTCAGTGAAGACAATGTACAAAGTTCCAGTACATCTGGGATAAATAATATATTTTAAAAATCGCAGACATTTTCACCATAATTAACTTCCTGCATTTAACCCAAAATACTTCAGAATAGTGGCTTAATGCACCCCTAAATTTTTTTAAAAAATTGTCTAGACAATTTTTATCTGCAAATAAAATTTCAGGCAGGCACAGTGGTGCAGGCCTGTAATCCCAGTGACCTGGGAAGCTGAGGCAGAAGGAGCACAAATTCAAGAGCAGCCTTGGCAACTCAGTGAAACCCTGTCTCAAAAAAAGGGCTGGGGATGGAGCTCCTTCCCTAGTACTGCAAAAAAATTTAAAAAGTAAAAAAAAAAAAAAATGTGGTGAGAAAAACTGACTTACTTATAACAAAGTTTTAAAACCACAAATTGATACAGTCTTAATGTGGAAATAGTTGTTCAAATAAGCAAAAGGTAAAGATGCAAATAAGCAGAGGAGTAAGAATTACAAAAACAGAATGACATTCAAAAAAAAAAGAAAGACAAGACCCCAGTGTTTGAAATTACGCCTTTGTCTCAGCACTTGGTGCAGCAGACCACTGTGTGTGCAGCTTTCATACAAAGTTTTATTTTGCAACTGCAAAATAGCTATTTAAATTTTAATCAGGTAAACAGCATTCTTCCTATAGCAATTTTTTTTTACTTTTTTTAAAAAAATGTTAATTGTATAGAACCTGGCTCCCCAGATTATGAAACATTCTGCTTAGATTATACAACAGATGGAGAAAGCAACGGTTACATATGGGGAAAAGGCCATTGCCAGTGAAAAATCTAATAATATTGTTAGAATAAGTAAAAGCACATAAATTTAAAGTAAATATTAAAAAGGAGACACTTCACAGTCTCTGCTTTGCTGACCATCACACAGCAGGATGGCGGGGAGTGAATGACAAATTTCCCTCCTGGCTTCTCTATTTCAGGGACTCCGAGAAGAAGATTTTTCTAAAACTGTGTCACAACATTTTAAGTTTTCTGTGAAAAACACATAATTTTGTAGATGTCCAGTAAAGACTAGTTTGAGAGTTCCATAAATGTAAAATCATTACTATCACATCAAATCCTGTTAATTTTAAAGTCTACATTCCCCTGGAGTATTAACAACATTAACATGTGGGCCCAGAGATGTCATTTAGTGTATCACGTATGAGGACCTGAGTTTGATCCCCAGCACTGCCAAAAAACCAAAATCTTATCTAAATACACTGGCACTTCTCTACACGTTTTCCATCCGTTGATTCAATCGTTACAACTAATCTAATCTTTTGGGTATTATTGGTAAATATATTTTAGAGGAAAAAAGAGGCCCCTCCCCCTCTACTGGGGGTGGGTGGTGTCACACAGCAAGAAAAGGCAGAGCCAGGATTAAACTTTATATATTCTGTCCCCACAGTAACACGGTCCAACAGGAATACAATGTGATCCATATTTGTAATTATAAGTCTTCCAATAGTCACATTAAAATATTAAAAGCAGGTAAAATCAACTTAAAAATATAACTTACTTAACCCAATATATCCAAAATATTCTATAATCATCCAAATACAAAGATATTAATGAAATATTTTATATTCTTTTTCATAGTATAAGCCTTCAAAATATGGTGTGTATTTTACACCCACCACATAGTTCAATTCAGACTAGCCTCATTTTGAGGCTCGCAGCTCCAGTGTTGGACACTGTGGTTCTATACCTGCATGCCAATCAAGAGAGCAGACTATCTACCAGGAAGGAATCTGTAAAAGTCAATGTAATCACTGTCAGCGAATATTCGTTTTTGCAAACAAAGTTAAAGTGTCAGTACTCTAACATTTCAACAGTTCATCTTTCCCCACCCAGGATGAGAGTTGGGACAGGATTAAAAAAAAAAAAAAAGTCAATCTTGCTGACAATACAGTTCAGCACAGTGTTCATGCAAATCTTGATCAGCATTGGTTTCCAATCATTTCAAGGATGTCTGTATAGCTAGTACTCTTGGAACATATGGATAGGGTTTCCCTCAGGGGCAAAGGGCAGATTTCATTCATGACCACGAAAATAAAAATAATGTTTTCTTCTGGGGAAAAGTCGGGGCAGGTTGCTAGCAGTTCCCTCCTCAGGCTGGGGTTGTCTAAGCCTGTGCATCTCCAGATCAGATACAGACCACTGTGTGTGCAGCTTTCTACGGGGCCCCTTCCTATCCCTTCCACAAAGCCTGGGAGTTGAGGGGAACCAAAGCAAACATGAAGTTCGTGCTGCCCACTACGTCATCCGCATGGAGTCTGCTGTATGATCCAGGCATCCTGTGAAGCTGGAAGACCACCACAGCTTGGAACTGGGCCCTCTCAGGCCCCTCACACACCTTAACACACCTCTGGAAAGTTGCTAGATTTTTAACTGGGCATCATCCAGAGAAGAGAACTTGTATTTTCTATAACTAGAACCAAGATCAAATCAATTTACTGGTTTAGGATTAACATTAGGATTAACAGCAGGAAAAACCATCTGACTGCTTTCCCGGCTGTTCCTGGGGGTCAGGTCCTGCCATGATGGTCTTGTCAAACATTCCCTGTACTAAACATTACGTCACATTGTTTCACTTTCTTTTAGGAAGCAGTTATGCATACCATACCTTTCCACAACACTTGGCTTTGTCTATGATCTTCAGAGCAAACTCCTTTCCAGTGGACCTAGGAGTAATCAGAGGAGGACCATTTAAAGACACAATCACAGATACCATCCTTCCTAATTTCCCATAGAGCACAGACTCAGGGAATAAGTTTGGCTGTTTCCTTTGCACGTTTAAGACGATGTCTCAGAGAAAAAAAGGTACTCTAAATAGAAAATAAAATCCCAAACAACAATGCATGTTAGTTACATTCCTTTTATAAATATTATTATAGTATTATTAACTCATATTTGAAGTGTTGAAATTCTGTTATATCAGAGCTAAACAAGAAATCATTTTTCCCCACTTAAATCTCAAGACAGATCTCTTAGGAAACATAATAAAATTGGGAATCACCTTCAGTGATAAACATTTTATTATCAATTAATGTATCTTTACATTAATACATTAGTCACGTGTGCCTATGATTCAAAACTGGAAAGTTGCCCCAGACTTTCTGGTATTATATCATTCACACCTTTAAGTGGCTGTATCTGCCACCAAAGAGATCATTTCCTTGGACACAAGCATCTTAACATGATTTAATCTGAATGTATCAAAAAATATTGAACCAAGAACAGCTCAGAGAAGACCACCATTCTATTGACAGTTCTCTCCACTGTGGCTGCTTCTGCTAGGCAGTTGGAGGACCCACTGATGAGGCCCTGCCTGGAAGATGAATTTTTATTTACTGTAAACCAAACCTTGCTTCATATTTCTAACAAGTCCTTAGAAGTCACATATTTTACACTCTATTTGTATATACGTGTTTTTTCTTGTCAATCTGTATGTGACATGTCAAATAGCTAGTCCTCAAGAAAGACTCTTTCAGGAAGGAGAAAAGAGAGACTTCCCAGGAAGGTCTGAGTTCACCATGAATAACTTCCCCCCCACCACCACCACCAGAAGAAAGAATAAATTCCAAAGGAGAACCATAAGTGTAGACGAACCCAGAACCCTCACTACCCACTCACCTGTCCATGCATTCTTTGACTACTGCAAAATTGCCATCACCAATGACCTTCCCAATTTTGTATTTCTCAAGAAGAGTTGATGATTCAGAGCACCTGTTTCCATTCACACCTGCAAAAAGGATAAAAGCAAATCTAAAGGAAATATCAGCATTTTGTATTGATTCCTATATATTTTAAAATAATAAACTGCAACACATTATATTTCTAAATCTATGGTGAAGCTAAAGAAAATCTCAGCATATTTCCTAAATAAAATGCCTAAATCACCAATTTCCTTTTGACCTTGTTGGTTGGAATTAGAAACCAACAAAATCAACAAACGTAGCAAATCCTTGAAATATCAGCTGAAATAAATTATTAGCCTTGGTTAAAAGGAAGTCTAACTAGAACTTTTCCAAATTCTTGTCAATGCTCAGGAAAGAAGAAAGGGGATAGAGAGAGGGATTTAATCTTAGAAAAGTTCAAGATTTCCATTTTTTCTTTTGTTTTTTTGGTACTGAGAATTGAACACAGAAGAGCTATACCACTGAGCTACATCCTTAGTCTTTTTTTTCCCCACTTTGAGACAGGGTCTCTCCAAATTGAGGAGGGTCTCACTAATTTGTCCAGGCTGGCCTTGAACTTGCAATGTTCTTGCCTCAGCCTCCCAAATTGCTGGGATTACAGGATGCACCACCGTACCAGCACAATATCTCTAACTTTTCTGGTAAAGAAAGTTCTATACAGGTAAGATGCCTTCTGAAGGTTAACACCTGGCTCAAAGCCTTCTTAAAAAGGTGTGTGTGTGTGTGTGTGTGTGTGTGTGTGTTTTAGGACACAGGTTAAGAAACTACTTCTCAAAATGTGTCCAGTGCCCAGCAGTTAGGAGACATACACTTTTGTTATTTAATTGAGAAAAATGAAATGAACTTAGGAATTATAAGCAGATTATCAAAGAAAAATAAAGCCCAAGTCTCAACTTTGAAGATGCAGTGGCCTAATTAATGACAATGAGGTTTTATATACATTGAAGTGACCTCAACCCTACCACCCACTAAGGCTAACTGGGCTAACAGGTGACGCGACTACATTCATGTTGAGGAAGATCATAATTTGACACCAGTGGGTTTGGGATGACTATTGGGTTCACCTGGATGATTTCCTTTATAAAGTAATGATCAGATTGACAACTACCTTCAGGACTCATGCAACGCTCAAGTTCAGGTCCACCATTCACATTGGAAGAAGATCTGCCATGAGCAGAAATCTGCTGAAAGAGGAGAATGGCCATTACCTATTAGGATGCATTCACAGACCCAGGCTCAAGAGTCCTTAGAGAATAGACCACGCAACATAGAAGGATATAGAAAGAGAGGAAACGTTTCCCTTCTTCTCATCTCACCTCTCTTCCTGTACACATCACATTAATGCATTTCTTTCTTAGATATATTTTCAAGTCAGACTAGATAGCAGGAAAATTGACACTTTTTTTTTTTTTTTAAGTGCACACAATCCTTTATTTTTCTGTGGTGCTGAGGACTGAACCCAGTGGCTCACATGTGCTAGGCAAGTGCTCTACCACTGAGCCACAACCTCAGCCCTGAAACTGCATTTGACTTTGGTAAAATAAAGGAGACTTTGTGGCATCACAGATGATTAAGGTTCTTATTAGTGGCAAAATAAGGCTTAGAATTGTAGACAATTCTAACAGTTCCAAGCCAAACATCTAGTTTTTAACAGTTCAGTCATTTTATTGCCAAACAACAAAACGTAATAGGTGGACCATCAAACTTTTCAATATTTAACATTTTCTTTTGCTTTTTTCTTGTTTTATTTATTTATTTTTGGCATTGAAGTTGAAGGCAACTCCAGAATTGGTAGCACTCTATGAGATAATGTTTAAAAGCTAGAAATCAGGGCCCAGAGAGGGACTTATGATAAGCCTAGGAGAAAATCACAATATTCTCTATTCCGTTCCCCACCCGTAGCTACCACCCTGCTCAGGTGTTCCCCTGGCTTCCTTGGTCCCTCACCAGAGGTCTCTTGGTTGCTGTCAGTCTCTCCTCTATCACACGTTATTACCAAAGAAACTTTTCCTAAGGGCAGTTATAATATCACCCCCAGGATCCAAGAACCCTAATGGGTCACTGTCACCAACAGAATGACCCCAAAACCTTCAACACAGCATTCAAGCCTCAATCTGTACCCCTATCTACCTGACCAATATATTTCTTGCCACTTTTCTCGTGCATCTTATATTCACTCAAATAATTTTAAGTTAAACTTTCCAAGTCTTAAATTTCTGCTCCATAAATGGAAAAAGTAGCATCAAACAGCTAGATATTTGATAGAGAATAAAAATTAGCTCATATCTAAAAAATAATTTAGCACAGGTACTGTAGCATAACGCAAACTCAACATTAGTTATCAAGACCTTTTTTTGAAATACCGAGCACAGAACTATTGTGTGTGTGTTCGTGGTGCTGGGGATTGAACCCTAGCACCTTGTACGTGTAAGGCAAGCACTATCAACGCTACATCCCTAGCACAGAACCTTGAGATGACTGAATGTTTTGAATTGTTGACTACCAAATGGCTATAAGAGACCTCTGGCTAAACATTCATTCAGAATTGATCCCCCCCTACCTCTATCCCAACTGTTTCTAGATTGAAAATTGTCAACGATCAGATCCCAATTGAGCTGATCTCAGCCAAATTCTTAATGGAATAAACATAAGAACAACATAATTTTTTCCAGAAAGTGAAATCTTAAAAGATAAACAGATCCCTGCTGGTTACTGCTTGACCCCAGAACAAACAACTGGGGAGTTGGATTGTTAATGCCAGAGAATGACAGGGGCAGTGATCTGTTTGCCTGCAGGTCTAAATCTCATATCCTGGGCCAGGCAGCCACACAGTCTCAGTCCATAGCTGGCCGGGTCTGGCATGGACACTGGGCAAGAACCATCTCCCTTCCACACTCAGAGCCTCAGAACCTTGGGTAGGTGGGTGTGCAGTCCCCACACCCCCTGCGGCAGTCCATGGGCTCAGCCTGAGACCTGCTTGCTCAGTTTTCCTGGAAGCAAGTAACACTCTTGCAAGTCCTTTTTCCTGATCTAATTTGAGTAAGTACTGGTTTGCTGCAAACTGCCCTGTCCTGCCTGATTCCAGGACTGGAAACCAAGTCTCAGCAGGGCTGAAACAGCATCCTTCCTCGCATGAACAGGCACACATCCAGCCCCTCCCAGCGTCTACTCACCGAGCTCCTGTGAACCATTGTAACTCTCCCAGTGTTTATTTTGATTACCCTCCACCCTCTTACCCTATCCTGATTCCCTGTCCAGCCCAATAATTACAAACCCGGTTTGTGTTTAGGATTCCAGGGAGACAAAAAGCAGACAGAGAGACCAAGAAACAGAACAGGTGGTGAAAGCTGGTTCTCTGGCCCCAAAAAGAGAATGGCAACTGGGCGGAAGCCTGGAGACCAAGAGGAGGAGGGACCTCGTGGAGGGAGAGGGCTTGGGGCCAAGTGAAATGCCACCTCCCTGTGTATCTGACAAAGGCCTCCCTAATTCACCAGGAAATGCAGCCGCCTTAGCAAATGGTGATGACAAGAACATGTTCCAAAATAGACTACTGTTTTTAAAGAGTTAAACCTCAAGCATTTAAAAATCCTATGTGAATTTAATGAGTGACTTATCCAATACATGCCTTTATTTGAAAATAAGGCTTTCATGAAGAAAATGAAAATATAGAGGGGATAATTTTAGTATAGCACAGCTGAACAGAGTCAGAATCAGACAATTTTCCTTTCTCCCTCCTCACTGTTTAGTAACATCTACAGTAACCACCTGTGCTGTTTTAAAAGCAAGCTGTGGAGAGAGGGTTACTGCTGCCCCCAAGCTTCCAGTCCTAGGGGCAGACGGACGAGCACACTTAACACACTTCCATGAAGAGTCCAGGGCAGGTTCTCATGGTCACAAGTAATGCCAAGGAGCCCCGAGAGGGAGCTGTCTTGCCAGGGCACAGCCCTGCGCTGTATCCTTGAGTTGCTCTGCTTCTGATCAGGTTCACCTGACTTCCCAGTATGAAGCCTGGCTCTCCAGGGATATCAGAAAACCACGGTATTCACCAAGATCCCTGGAAAACGGGAGGCAGCCCCTGCTAAACACCAGGCAGAGCATTCCCGGCGTGATAACAGCAGGGCACGCAGACAAAGAGCGACAAAGAGCGCGAGACTGCACAGAATTCTGTTTCCCCTGCAGGATGTTTCGTATTTCCCTGGTAAGAGAATGACTCTTACTGAAACAGGGATTAAAGCAGCACCAGAAAAATCGAACATGGTATTTTTGACAAAAACTGTTCCATTTCGTGTTAAAAAATAACGATTTTTATTAAAATCCCTTACAATGCTCACGAGCGTTCACCAACCCCAGTGCTGAGGTCCTCCTTGGTACGCACAAAATGACGGCTATTACCAGTTGGCTCAGCAAGATGGGTTATGCAGGGGCGGGGAGGAGAGGGGATATAATTCCTTAGACAGGTCCTGGTTGGCCAAGAAGCACAGGTGACAGAAAGGACCTGGCGTTGCTGTGTCCCCCACTTACCCCTCTAGCAACAATAGCTCCATTGTTGTGAGTAAGCAAGGAAAGGGAATGTACCAGAATTGCTCTCCTGCTAAGAACATCTTATAAAAGACTCAAAAACAGCAGAAAAAGCAACAAGACTTTCTCAACTGCCATCGACGTCTGAAAGGGCCTCTGCAGCTGACAGGGTAAGTTCGATGACGACCTCCAGCTGTCTATGCTTTTAGCCAGGACCTTGTGTCAGCATCCTACAAGAAATTTCTTTGATAAGTGGATTATTCCAATTTCTACAAGACTTAAAATTTAGAGAGGAATGTTAAGTGCTACCCTAAAAAGCTAAAGTTTTGTTCAGAAATAGGCTTCTCAGAAAAGAGCAGCCACAAGGGTTATTCAAGGCCTGTAGCACATGACTGACCTCTGAGCAGAAGGCTAGATGGGATTTCATTTTTATTTTTATTTTTTTATTAAAAAAAAAAAAAAGGAAGAACTTGAGCAGAATCTAGAAGGCATTTGTGGGTAGCCAGTTAACATCTTCAAATGTGTTTGAAGATGGCACCACAGTTCAGCTGGTAAGTGATCAACAGCAAGGGTCAGAAACATTTTCTAACAAGGGCCAGAAAGTGACATTATAGGCTCTGGGGGGTCATATGGTCTCTGTTGCAACTATTCAACTCTGCAACTGAGCAGACAGAGACCATGTGCAAATAAATAAGTAAATAATAAAAACAAATTAAAAAATGTTTTAAAAATGAGCACAGCTGTACTTCAATAACATTTTATTAAAAAATAAAATAAAAAACCCAGACAACGGGCAGAATTTGGCCAGCACAAAAAGTCCTCGTCTGCACGAACTTTCTTAGGAAAGCTTTTCCTGCAACATAAGTTTTACACTGTTCTTTTAAACTTAAAAACAGAATAGCCTTCAGGGTATGGTTGCTGCTATGAAGGGGGAGTTATCTGCATCTGTATTAGAACTATGGGGGAAGCCTTAAAAAGTTCTATTGCCAGGCTGTACCCAAGATTAACTAAGGGTCGAGCCCAGGTTTCAGCCTCTTCTAAAGCTCCACAGATGATCCAATGTGCAGCCAAGGTGGACGACATCTGTGGAGCAAGTTTCTGGAAGTTATTGCAATTAATTATTCAGCTACCATGATTTAAGGTTTTTGTTTTTCGTTTTTGTTTTTTATTTGGTACTGGGGTTTGAACCCAGGGGCACTCAACCACAGAGCCATATCCCCAGCTCCTTCTTAATATTTTATTTAGAGACAGGGTCTCTCTAAGTTGCTCTAGGGCCTTGCTAAGTTGTGGAGGCTGACTTTGAACTTGTTATCCTCCTACCTCAGCCTCCCAAGACACTGGGATTATAGGTGTATGCCACTGTGCCCGACATGATTTAAGTTCTGTCACTTATTGAGTGTCTAAGCACTGCAAGTTATCTACAGCCAAACAACAACCTTTGCTTTGTAAGAAAAGGAAAGAAAGCCCCCTATGGTTTGTTGAATGCCTACTTTGTGCCAAATCTCGAAATGAGTACTTAATATGAATTATTATCAGCAACTCCACTGACCAGTGAAAAAAACAAATCTTAGAGATGTTAGGTAACTTTCCCAAACACAACAGCCAAAGTGGAGTTGGAATCCAAAACCAGCTCTAACTCCAAAGTACAGGCACTTTTCAGCTGCTC